GTTTTGCGTGGACTAGCCCTATCAAAGTGGGACTTTCACTATGTTTTTGTTCTGATTTAGCAGTGGGGAACTTTGTTTTGTTGTTGGTGATTCTCTTTTAAGTTGCATAATGCATTGCACCCTTGGTTAGATGCAAGTGGCGCAAGCAAACGGGTCAGGAGAGTTAGCTAGTGGGTCCACCTGGTCGTCCTGTAAACCCGTACATTCAAAGTGCCACAAGCCCTTGCGGGTGTGGCATTCTTACATTCGACAGACACTTATTTCGCCCACATCTCTTGCGGTCAATGGATGGCTGCAGAGAGCAGCTTGCATTGATTTAGACCGTGATTGCGAATGGATGATCCGCAGGAAGTGAGTGCAGACTGACAGAGGGAAAAACGAAACCGATTTCTAATTGATGATGTCTATCAAGAAATCTGTACCCCTTCGAGATGCGACACGGGAACCTGACACTCACCGACTGATCGTGGAGTTTTGAACGATGAGATTAAAATCGACTTGAAAGCAAGCCTCGATCCTGTGTAGCAAGCCACATCTTGGACACACAATGCTTTTACTGCAAAACTTTTGTGAACGAAATAAAACATTTGCCAAAATGTTGCAGTTTGTTGCCTATGTGTTCAGACCAAAAATCACCTTAATCTGCTGTCAGTTTGGCGATCTGTTTTAATTAATTCATTTTGAAATTTTTGTCGTATATTCTACTTTGGAATTGCTGTAATATGGCTTCAGAAATTGCTTCAAACGCGTTTTTTTTTGAGAAATTTGTGCTGTATCCTCCTTCGTGGCATTGTCAGGTTCGTTCAGCGTTCCAGTATGATCAGCTTAGGTTACATGCAACGGGTTGATCAGCTTCATGGGCTTCCAGGCATATTTTGTAGGCCAAAATAGAACACAGTGAGCTTCAACAATAAAATTGCATCACTTACCACCAATAATGAACAGGGCCTCCACAATTTCAACGGGTATGAGCAATCGTCGGGGAAAAATAGTTTACAGGTATGGTACCTCCGCATAGTTTGCATCTACAGGGGAATTGTGGGTTCTAGAATTGGAATTATTTCAGCCGTAAAAGCATCTTTAATTTCCTTTCATGGTAAGTGAATCTCCTTTTTCTGCAATTCGCGATTCCCTGCTATGTTTCACGGATTCACGGATTGATACACAGGATCGAGGCTTTTGCCCAAGTTTCCCGGGTCGGTTTTGTTCTTGTCGGTCAGTGGCTGTCGTTCACCTGAAAGGCACAAGTGAAAAAAGGGTGTAGCACTACTCTTTATGTTCTCAGCGCGGGGCAGTATGCTCGCCAGCGCGAGGATCCGCATAAATAAATGTCTAATAGTGCTTTAAATTGGGTTCGAGAAGGAGCGTGTACAACCGTAGGAGGAAGGTCATTCCACGCAGCTACTACCCGAAATGAAAAAAGTTTTGTCTAACGGATGTGTGTGCCCTGAGCTTGAAGATTTTCTTACTATGTCCCCGCCGGGTGTTTGCTGGGTAAACGGTAAAAAACCTGTTTGCCAAGCTTTGTTCAAACAGAGCATAAGTAAGAATTAGGTCCCCTCGGAGGCGACGGCACTCCAGGGGAAAGAGATCAAGCGTCACGAGACGCGTTTCGTAGTCCAC